AAGAAGAAGAAGAAGAAGAAGAAGAAGAAGAAGAAGAAGAAGAAGAAGAAGAAAAAGAAGAAGAAGAAGAAGAAGAAGAAGAAGAAGAAGAAGAAAGTGGAGGTAGCGGAGGAGGAGGAGGAGGAGGAGGAGGAGGAAAAGGAGGAGGAGGAGGGGGGAGTAAAAGAGGAGGAAGTAAAGGATGAGGCAGAGGAAGAGGAGAAAAGTCCAGAAGAATAAGCGTGGTTACTCCTTGAAGATCGGGTTCCTGTTCGGTGCAGGGAGGGTGGGAAAAGTTTTGTGAAACGGACTAGTAATTTCAGACGCAGACATAATTGAAAGCCAAAATTGCAAAAAACCTTTTCTTTTAAAATTGATTGAATATCGTATAAATAGAGTGTTAGTTTGAATAACATTATATCGACACAATTTAGAAAGCGTTGCTTATCGAAAACAAATTGTTCATTACTCCTTTCCTTATTCAGCCCAGTGAGAAAATTTTACAACATTTAACCCTTGAGACTAAACTATTTTACGATGGAAAGTTTATTTTAATAAATGTGTATTTGGAAACTTTGGAAATACAAACGTTTTTAGAATGTTATTGATACGTTTGTTATGTAATATGCGTTATTTTCGCGGGCGCCCCTTCTGTAAAATGTGTATTTTGCTTTATGTGATATGGGCCAACGACCTTACTTAAACACTGACTAAGACAAGTACCTACGTACCTACCAATACTACATAAGAAAAACTGTTTTATCGAGAAAGGATTAATCTGGCAGCTGTGTAGACCAGAAATCCACATCACTTGACGAGCTACGGGAAATAACTTTTGATTTCGTTATATTGACGAAACTGTGAGAAACAGTATGACTGAGCGCTTGCTGCTGGGAGGGTCAGATCGTGGAAACATAGGCTAAGGCCAGAGACTAGGGCACCAAAATGATCATCTCTCTCTCTCTCTCTCTCTCTCTCTCTCTCTCTCTCTCTCTCTCTCTCTCTCTCTCTCTCTCTTTCTCTCTCTCTGGCTATCTGTCTGTCTGTTTGTCTGTCTATTGGTCTGTCTGTTTGTCTCACTTTTCCCTCTCTCTCTAATGTCTTTTTTTTCTCTCTCTCTCTATCTCTCGAAAGTGTCTCTCTGTCTCTGTCTCTGTTTCCCCCTCTCTCTTTCTCCCTCTCTCTCTTTCCACCCTTTCTCCCTTTCTTCCTTTGTCACTTTCTCTTTATCGCTTTCACCCCGTTCTCTCTCT